CGGGACATCTAGTGTTAAGCAGAGGTTTAATTCCAGCAACCTTAAAAGCCTTTGGTACGTATCCCTGTAACAGAGATAGATTAATCACATCTAAAACGGAGGAGGAGATCAAAGGGATGGTCAAGTTGGGTGGAGGTTTGTCAGGACCCAAATGCAGACACTGAAGCTGGTTATTTGCAGATTTAATAACAAAAAGGGGAACAGAAGCAAAAATCCCAAAACATAAATCCACAAAAACTGAGAATGAGGAATAGTCACAACAAGGGGGAAAATAAATAGTGACAACAACAGTGGCTGAGCAGGAGGTGCATATATGGGAGACAGAAACAAAGAGCAGGCTAATCAGCAGATTGGGAGCAGGTGTGAACAGAGGAGTCAAGAAGGGAGCTAGGAGGAGGAGACTGACACAAAGAGGGCAGCAGAGGGCAAACAAGAAATACCTAAAAGCACAAATACACTCCTGATCAAAGTCTTAAGAACAGTCAAAAAATTGCAAGAATTTTCATTTTGCACTATTGGATCTAAAGAAGGTTCTAAGTAGAGCTTCACAATGTTAAAGGAAGAAATCAGCGTAAGAGACAAAACCTTTTGAGTGGGGAATTCATTGAAAACTGCAAAAAACAAAAAAAACTGCATTTACACTCAAACATGATTTTTTTCAGCTGATCAAAAGTTTAAGACCAAAGCTCAAAAAACCCGAAAACAGAAATCAAAGTGTCATGAAAGGACTCAGTAATGAGCAGCTCCACCGTTCTTGTTGAAGACTTCAAACAATGGTTTAGGCATGCTGGATGCCAGTGTTTCCTGGAGGCTGGTGGGAACGCTGCTCCAAGTGTTGAAGATGGCTTCACCAAGGGCATCCACTGTCTGGAACTGATGTCCTTCCCTCGCCATCCATCCCCAAATGTCCTCAATTGGGTTTAGATCGGGGGAACATGCAGGATGGTCCAAAAGAGAGATGTTATTCTCTTGGAAGAACTCCTTTGTCAGGCGGGCATTGTGAACTGCAGCAATGTCCTGTTGAAAAACCCAATCATTCCCACACAGAGGAGGGCCCTCAGTCATGAGGGATCCCGCTGCAACATCTCCACATAGCCAGCTGCTGTTTGATGCCCCTGCACCACCTGAAGCTCCATTGAAGGAAAACGCACCCCAAATCATGATGGTGCCCCCACCACTGTGCCGTGTAGAAAACATCTCAGAGTATTTGATTCGGTTATCATTTGAGCCTGCTTTGTTTTCAACTTTTTCAGCAATATGTGATTTGAAGCGTTGACGCCCATCGTACAAAGTTTGAACATCTTTTTACACACGCTGCAAAATGTTTCTGCTGGTTTACCATCAGCGGGCTTTAACCCGGTTTTGAATCATTCATCCTCCAACCACTTTTGCTGAAAGTTACATTTTCCCATCTTTTCCTAAAATTAGCTTCGCTCTTTTGCCACAGCACGTACATGCGACACACGTTGCATCAAGTGTTTTGATTTTGTGCACCGGCTCTACACAATAGTCAATTAATGGTTCCGTCTGATTATCACACTATCCTTCTAAACATAACAATGTTTTTGTATTAAATTGTGAATAATAATGTTTTTGTTCCATCAAGTGTTTGTACTTTTCAATGCCTCCGGACGTTGAAATTAATGCTTTTCAATGCTATTTAAGGCCTTGATTTTCAGGAAATTACTTTTAATGACTTTTAATGACCCGCGGAAACCATGTACTCCATCCTGGAGAGAAATATCAGCTGTGCTGCTGCCATCAGCACCTTTGTTTC